TTTTAAAAAAACTCGGTTGAGTACCTGCTTCCTTGTGAATGTCATTATCTGGATGTCTAAGCTTATTTTCATATAGCCAGGCGACATCAACCAATGAGAACCCTCCATTTCCTATCAGCTATAGGGGTGTAACATCGTAAGTGGTGAATAATGAAAAAAAGTGGTCGGTTATCAGAATAACCCAGGACCCTTTATTGACATATATGCTTCCTATTCCTTTCACAGTTGAAGGATCTTATGTTCTTCATCTTCATCCTGATCATCTTTATCCTGGCATATGGGGTAGCAACCCAGTCCATCCTGTATCCCAACGAGAGCAGGGTGGGGACAGTCCTACAGGGCATCTTCCACAAGGCCTACTTCCAGATCTATGGGGAACTGTTCTTGGAAGAAATCATGAGTGAGCTGATATCTCTTTCCTGTCAACGATTGCAAGTTTGATTATAAAATCACCATATAATCAATCTTTACTGCACAACAGTTGCCATTGGATACAATATATGGCAAATTGTTGAACAACAAGTCTAATGTCTACACTACTCTATACATAAGGCCTATCCTCGGTATATGGTGAGATAATTCCTGGTCAGGTGCAATAACCACCAAATAAACCACCGAGTGAGCGTAGCGAACACTTTAGGGTGGGGCATTAATTCTTTATTGCCATTGCAGATGATGGGTTTAACTGTGTGGCTAACAACAGCGAAGCCATGGCTAACAACCAACAGAGGTGTCCTTCAGAAGAGGGAACCTATGTGGTACCTGTTCTACTGGGACTGTACATGTTGGTCACTAATGTTCTACTGCTCAACCTGCTGATTGCTATGTTTGGGTGAGTTCTGTGTTCTCTTGGCACATTTGTAAAGTTGACCCATTTTCCACTGAAGCTAGTAGTTTCGTATGAATCTCATTGAATAGAACTATATTTTGAAAGTTTGTTCTCGTCTTTTAGAATCATACATTTAACATGTTTCAAAATTAACTGTGCCACAAAAGTTTTACCTGTACCAATCATATTCTTTATCTTGTTAGCCATTAATACTACATGTATTTTCTATCTTTTTGGTTACAGTACTACTATGACTATAAGAAATGCATTTTTGTCCAGTATTGCAGCAGCAGTGATGTACAAAAATTGTACATGCACATGGGAATGAATATAAGATTAAGAGCTGGTTTCTTTACTACTACCTTAGAAATATCTGCACAGCTTCAAAAATATCCAGCACTACCCTGCATACATGTATGCATTAAACCTTGTTGTAAACAAATCCTCCCCTGTTGTAAACAAATCCCAACTTCAGCAGCCATTTAGAGATACGCATGACATCAACCATCAACATAATTGTTTGGATTTCCAGCTACACCTTTGAGAAGGTACAGGAGAACACTGACAAGATCTGGAAGTTCCAGAGGTACGACTTGATCAAGGAGTACTCAGACCGCCCTCCCCTGGCTCCTCCTGTCATCATCTTCTCTCACCTCTTCCTGCTCTTCCGTGCCATCACCATGGGATGCTGCAAGAGGTGTCGGCCTGGGGATAACGTCATGAGTAAGTTTATGTCACTTTATTTATTTACCACATCCATACAAACATGTAAAATACTTCAAAACACACAAACATTATCTCGTATATCCCAACTAGCTTGGCATAATGCTGCCAGAAAGTGCTCACTATATCTCTTAGTGTAAGGATTACTCCTACATTAGAAATCTTGAAATATTACGGACATGCATGTGTGCAATGATTTTTTATTGATTATTTTCAATAATGATGACATTGTAAATTGGTTCTTGAGCCTTTTTCTCTTTCAGGACAGTAATCATTTTGTTACTGATTCTACATGACTGTACATGTTGGGCTACTTTTCACATTATAACTATCAAAGACACATTTCTAGACTCTTTCTCTTGTGTTGTTGATCTGATGTGCCTATACTCTGTCTCTTCTAAATCTATTGTCTGAAGCACTATGGTGAGGAGACAAGGACTTTTCCACTGCACTCTTCAGAGCCTGTGAGTTGCACTCTTCTGAACTCCTGCAAGTATCTGTCTAACTCTGTTCAAAACCACCCTAACCTAAGCCTGCGTCAGGCCAGAAGAACAATTTTTCACTTTTTTAGTAATCACTGTTTTCAAGACTGTGGCAGAACTTTTTACTGTTAGAATGTTATTCCTGAATCTTGCTAGTGTGCAGGTACTTATTAGTGTACAGGTTTGTTTTGTTTGTTTATTTGTTGTTTGTACTGGAGTTGATAAGACACTGAGGGTTGATTAAGTTTGAATTGGAATGAAAGATGCTCTCTGTGTTTTAAAAGTTTAATAAAGTTTATAAACTCCCACAAAGCTTATATACATGAAAATATATTGGTTTTATTAAAAAATGTTGTTATTTACAGAAGTAAAACTGGAAAGTGCTGAGAGAAAACAGCTGATCCTGTGGGAGTACCTGAACACAGAGAACTACCTGCAGCAAACCCGGCGGGATAAAAGCCAGGAGACAGGCGAGAGGGTGCACGATACACAAGAAAAGTAAGAAGAACAGAAATCCTCAACAAATCATGACCCTAGCATGTCCAGATCACAAGATATCAAAAATAGAAGTTCCGCTGCAGTACCATAACAAGCCGCCAGGGGCCCCATGATGTAATCATGTCAAAATCCTTTTCAAATACAGCCTGGTCAACTGCCTGGCACTATGTTTCTATCATTGTGTCATCGATTACGCAAATTAGATCATCATTTGCATGAATTATGTTAGCTTTTTATATTCTCCACCCAATAAAAGTCTTATTCTAAAGAAAGAAAGCCATTCTAGCATTTCCCCATAAATTATGCAAATGAGGTCCTGAATGGAATAATTGATGTTTGATGATGTTCACGTTCACTTGACTTCCAAATGCCCAAGTATGAAATTCCCGCCATTTACCAGGATGGAATTATAGAGTTTGGTCATCAATTATGCAAATTGGATCACAATTTACATATATGAGCTAGACCATGTGAAGGTAAACATTATGCATTTTGCTTTGTAAATGTTACTTTTCTAGTAAATACCAAATGAATGTTTTGACAGGGTTGATGAGCTGAAGGATCTGGCCAATGAACAAGACGAGCGACTGACCAGACTTGAGGAACAGATGCTGAAGTCCACCATGTCCTTAGAGTCCATTGTTCAGTCTCAAGCCTGGATCATCAAGTCCTTACAACAGAACAACCTATCTGCTAAAGAAGCCCCACCTGAACTGGAACTCTCTCCAGCTGGTGAGCCATGCATTTTCCTTCTTTCCCAATTCAGAAAAGAGGTGCAATGGCCAAAGAGAAGTGGGTCTAAAAGTCACAGGTTCAAACTAAAGCCGAATCATACCAAGACTGAAAAACATACTGCGTTTTCTGCTTAATACTCAATATACAATGTATAATTCAGAAAGAGTTGAACCCACTCCACAACCTGTGGACTAACCCCCTGATGGTGGTTTTGAGTGGCCCAAGGGCAATAGAGATGGACACGGGCTCTGCCCTATACACCTAAAGGTGTGGGAAGAACTTGAAGGCTGAATTGGTAGCAAACTACGCTCCTTTCCTTTCAGAAAAAGTACCACGTTCCACATTGCCAAGTCTTACACGAGAGCCCACCAGGTCTTCTTTGCATCAGGGCAAGAGACCAAAAACAGTGAAAGGCAGGCGGCGTACTCTGGACGGCCAGCCCATACAGGAGATCCACCAGAAGGCCAGGACCTGTCCATACCCGATGTGTGAGGTCAACAGGTGTCAGGTGCCAGATGACAAAGTTCCTTGGGAGGTAAGACTTCTTTTTCTTTACCCTTCTTGTTGTGGAAAGCCTGCTAAGGTTTGGTTCAGAAATTAATGTACTTAGCAAAAAAAGGTGCATTTTATCTATATTAAAAGGTGAACGTCTGAGGGTAGTCCCATAAAAAAACTTAGCCATATTTTCTTTACCATGTCAATACAACTTATTAGTATCATTTTTAGATATTGAATAACTCTTTAAAATATGATCATCCCTTGGATTGTAGGTGCCATTCAGCAGTTATCATCCTGTCAACTACACTGCAGACTGTGTTCTGGCTGGGCCACCATGGGCAGATGTGGACCTCATGAGCATGTAAGTAACATTCAATCCTCAATGTTAGGTGAGAAAAAAATGAGTGTAAGGAAGTATATTGCAAAACAAATTGTTTTCTTGACAGTCATACTGGAATAAATGATTTTTTGTCCACACAATGATTTGCAGGTCTCTTGAAGAAAGACCTTTCCTGATGTATAACCAGTTGGACACCAAGTTCAAGGGAGCTGTGGACAGAACCAGCTTCATTGGAGTATACCAGGTCAAGGATAAGCTCCCTCTGTAAGTAAAAAAAAAACTTTCAGATTGAAGTTTTGTTTTATGTCGCTTATTTATTTATGAAGATTTACCACATTTGTGGAAGGATTGACATAACAGGTGACTATCACCTTTTCAAAGATGCCAACCCAGAGACAAGACTGTAAGGTTTGAACCACTCACACCGGGAAGGTCCCCTACTCTTTTCGATAAGTGTGGTGGGTTCTTTAACGTGCGTGGGGTGTGGCTCTCCCAAACACGGGACCTCCATTTAACGTCCTATCCGAGGGACGTCCCTAACCAAAGCTAGGCTCAGGTTTAAAGCTAGGCTTAAAGATGTCAATGGCCATGCATGACCTGTACTCAGCTTGTAAGAGCATAAATGTACAATAAATCATCTTTCTCCAGGAATCCCAAAGGCCGGACAGGCATGGTGGGGAGAGGACTGCTGGGAAGGTTTGGACCCAACCATGCTGCTGATCCTGTTGTTACCAGGTTAGTACAATCACTTGTTCTTCTCATCTATATACACATCACCATTATGGGAATTGGGTCTTAATTATGTTTACCATCACCTTTACCTTTACGTGTGTTTTACCACTACAGGTGGAAGAAGGACATGTTTGGGAACAAAGAGGTCCATCGTGAAACCCACCGGAATGTGCTGGAATTTGTGGCCATCCAGAGGAAAGACAATGGTCTTTGGGCCATTCCTGGGGTAGGACTGGTCACCAGAATGTGTGTCTTATACAGTTGTAGTGTGCTGATGTTCAGGGCCTTAGAATAACGGTCTTGGCGTAACGAGTTCATGCCATGGCCAGAGCCAGTCTGGAGTGTGAACTTTTATTCTAAGGCCCCATATACATGTATATGACTTGGGTTTGGATCCCACTGCTGCCACCAAGTGTAGTGTGAGAAAGAAGTAACTTGGTAACATGGTACTGTGTTTGTGTACAGGGCATGGTAGAGCCTGGGGAGAACCTGACCATGACCCTGAAGAATGAGTTTGGTGAGGAGGCTCTGGGCAAACTGGACAAAACAGACCAAGAGAAGAAGGACATGTCCAAGAAACTGGACAAACTCTTCCAGCAGGGCAAGGAGGTATTGTCAATTGTTTGTTTCTGAAATCTTTCGTATTGGAGACAGTTGAAGACAACATTTTAATTGTGAGTATTCTGAGTTTATTACTGTCTGAACCTGTGATAACATCAATGGCTGTTGTGTGATGTCAGTTTCACTAGGTACCCTCAGATAGCAACATTAGAAAAAAAGTCATGAGTAAAGAGATAATAATGCAGCATCAGTAGGTGACGTGTACACAATTCAGATATCCAGGATTGTACCATTTTTCAATATGGTAGAATTCACATCGACCATTCAAATTGATAGTGTGTGTCCAACATCTGTATGCAAGTGTTAGAAGAAAATTCACAGCCCTTTTCCTTTCTGTAAGGATTCAAACTGTCTCTGTCTGATCATCACTGTTGTGACTTTGTCTGCCAACCACAGGTGTTTAAAGGGTACTCAGATGACCCCAGGAACACAGACAATGCCTGGATAGAGACAACAGCTATTAACTATCATGATGAGGAGGGTTACCTCATGCAGAACTTCACCCTACAGGTAGGGGGCATTGTTCAGTTATACCCAATGTAACTTGTGTATCTTTTGGTTGACCAATTTTGATAACATGTAATATCCATGTATTTGTGTTCAAAGCAATTGTATGTTGCTGCTTTGGAAGTAAGATGTCAAGTGTATATAAATTATAATGGTATTGTACAAGTCTACATATTGCATCTCTTGCATGTAGTTTCTGTCTTCTGTCTACATGTAGTACTGTACTGACACCCAGTGGTGTCAGGTTACTAGTACATTATGTAGCAGGACAGAGCTGGAACTTTGGAGGGGCTGCTCACCATCATGTATATGAATGTGTTTGAGTAAGAATAAACAGAGTAGTAGTCTGTTGGCATCTAGACCATGTGATGGTAAGCATCATGCATTTCCGTTGCAAATGTCACTTTTATACATGTAGTTTTTGTTTGTGTCTCTGCTACTCACATCGTGTCCCCCCCTCAGGCCGGTGATGATGCGGGTGCTGTACAATGGCAGGATGTAGATGGGAGCTCACCACTCTTCGCAAGTCACCAGGCCATCCTCAAACATGTGGCTGGTTTTCATAACGCACATTTCTAACTCACTCTAATGAGGGCCTGTTTGGGGGGATTGGGGGTCTAGTGATTATGAATTACGCAAAATTTCACTGCAGATTACAAATTACATCTCAGAACTGATTAAGAACAGTTTCGCGTTATAGCTTATGTACTGATTACAAATTATGATGATTTTTGACAGCTGCCTATGGATTATGAAGACTAAAAAAGGCCTGATTACACCTTACGAAAAAGAGCATGCAGGTCCTCATTTCTAACTCACTCTAATCTAATGTCTGCTCATCGGGGATTTCAACAAGGGTATCAGTATACCCCAGGCTGACCTAACAGTGCCTCTGATAGAGTTTTAACCCTCAGAAAACTGAAACAGCTCTCTGGCTACCAACTAGACTAGACTCTCCATTAGTTCACTAGTTAGGCAGCAGGGAGAAGGTTAAGTTGGACCATTTTGACTGCAATTCAAAGCTTTTACACATGTACAGATGTCTGACCATTTCCAAAATCATATCCAGCTTTATTCAGACATATCTTATTACCTGGATGTCTAAACATTCATCAATGTACATACATGTATACATACATGTAACAGTATATTGTATATTGGAATTCTGACGTGTGTGTATATATGAAAGTGTCTGTAGTGTAAAATAGATAGTGTAATAATTGTACTTCAATGTTGTCATAGGTATGGTAATTCTTATTATATGATTGTCTCAAAGTCGACAGTTTTACGTTGGTCATGTTGAGATGTCAGCTGTGCCAAGTCCTTTTTTTTTTAAGTATCACTTTTTATTTTGAAATATTGTCTCTTCCATCAGAAGCTTTATCAATTGAAGCTATTGTATATTTTGTTGGTTAATATGTTTCTTGACAAGGCAAGTTTGCAGTGTCCTAACTGTCAATATGTCATATAGAATGGTTATGGTTTTTGTACTATATTTGGTGATCATGATAATGTATGTGAGAAAGGTGTAGAATTCTAAAATATCAGGTCTTAAGTCAAGAATTCATACTTAGAAATGTAGGTAACTAAATTGTTATGTATTTTGAATATCTACTTGTGAATAGATTTTAGGTTGTGTGTGAAATTGTGAATACAGTATAATTGCGACTACATTCTTATGGATGGAAATGAAATATTCTTGTGATTAAACAGTTCATAATTTGTGTATATGATGTCTGAGTTCTTTGTAACCTGCACTGCTAAATAGGTGAACAGTACATTTTTGTATTATGGGAAATTCCAATGCAACAGTGCACATTACTTGTTAAGAATTGTTAGGGATGCAGTGATAGATGAGTTTCATAACCCTAGATGCTCCTATACTTCACCCATCCAAAGTGTCAAGCTTATTCTATACCGATGACGTTGTCATCTTGTCAACCTGGTCTACAGAACGCAATCAACATTCTCGGTCACTACTTCAACAAGTGGAAGCTAACAATAAACCTAAAGAAAACGAAAATTATGATTTTTGATAAAAGAGGACAAGTACTAACCAACTTTATATTTTGTTTATTTGACAAGGACCTAGAAGTAGTCACCTCTATTTCAGTGATTGTTATTCCGTATAAAAACAACTCTGGGAGAACACTAGCCTCTACCAGGCTTCTGGAGGCGTCTGGAAAGAGTAGAAATCGGCTGGCCTCTAACAGGCTTCGGGAGGCGGCTGGACTCCGAGTAGAAATCGGCCAAATAGAGAGATAGCATGCCGGGGGAGTTGGTCTGCTAGGAGCGGCGGCAAACTGTTAATTCTCTTCCAGCAGACCAACTCCCCCGGCATGTTATCTCTCTATTTGGCCGATTTCTACTCTTTCCAGCCGCCTCCCGAAGCCTGGTAGAGGCTAGGAGAAAACTACTCTTCAGTGTCTCTGCAGTGTAAGTTATTTAATGCAAAAATGTACTGTGCCAAAATGACTGTAGGGGCAGTGCTAGTTTCAAATGATAATACCCCACTAGAACAAGCGCACCTTAAGTTTTGTAAAAGTATCCAAAGGATAAGAAGGAACGCCAGTAACCTCGCCACAAGGGCGGAACTTCAATAAGAGATTCCCGTGTGGATTGAGGCAGTCACAGTATATAGGAGGCTCTATTCGTATTATAACATATTCACTATAGAGTTAGAGTAAAACCGTTAAAACACTTTTGCTGGGAGCCGGGGATAAACTGGCCAATTCTGCACATCGACATCTTGCAGTTCTAATTGGAACTGCAGAGAGGACGGCTCCTCTAGATCTGCTTACACCTGAGCCCGTGGCTGAAGTTTCACCACGCAGCTTCAACGGTTTCATCGCGTAACATTTTGCCAAACTGTGGATTCAAAGCTTGGCTTCCGCTGCAGGCGAAAGAGGACAAAGTCCTAACCGTCCTAAGTCTATGTTATGACTGATGTGACCGCTCTAATCTTACGTTCCATCGCAGCGTTGTCTACTACTGAGAGCAGGACACGTTGCCAGAGTTAAGGTTAAGCCTCGGTCACAACCCGCCGTACGTGGCTTCTGCGTGCTGTCTACGTGCAAAAACGTGGGCAAACGTAGGGCCTCCGTGCGTGGTGAGTACCGCCTCCGTACGAAATCCTACGGATTTGGGAGCACGCAGACACGCCGTAGAACTTTAAGTGCATGTAAAACTTTTTCTGCGTGCGGTCTACGGATTCACCACCTGTGCGTGCGAGTACGGGCGACGCGCGTGCCCCGTACGTAAGACGCACGTGTGAGTACGGCCTCCTTACGGCAAAGTTGCAATCGCACAGAGATCGTACGTTGTAAGCACGTACAACTCACCACTTGCGGAACGAACGATGCACGCAACCGCTCACGGTCAGACGTGGCGTGCAGACCACACTCTTACACCTTGCGAAACCGTGCGAGTGACGTGCGTCGACGCCACTCCTTCCCCACGTTTTCAGAAAAAAACGTAGCAGACGTAGCCTCCCAAAAACGTACGGACAAAAAGCACGTACGGCGGGTTGTGACCAAGGCTTGACCCAAGAAGCTTTTTTTAGAATGTCCTTGAGTACACAAAGAGATTTGCATCCAGTCCATTTTTAGCCAATCAGCGCGCTCCATATTTTGACATTCGGGATTTGGTCGGACCGGTTTTTCCACCCCCTCAACAACTACTAAATCAGCAACATTTTAAAGCACTCTTGGAATCGGTGAGAAACTTTCTCTGTTGTATTCGATCGATGTTTTTCGCACCTATCAGTTTTCGGGGGGAACGTGAACTATAAGCTGGAACTTTACTTACAGGCAAGGAACAGGTATGTTTTAACAACGCTCAAGGACATTATACTAGTATGCAGTGTACTCGTATAATGTCCTTGCTACGCTGTACAGCACATACTGAGGTCGACAGTGTTGGAAGTATAGACAGTTCAAGTGGCAAATCACATGATTTTTGTGTTAGTTGGGATCGGCCGCTGCGCTTACTAGTATTGCTAGTGCAGAATTGGTATCGGTACATTGTGTACTATCGTCCTGCGGAGCACAACAATTGTTGTTTTGCACATTCAGTACCACCAAGGACATTATATAATGTCCTTGGTACCACCTATATAGGTACAATTTGGAGTATTTCTCGTGCAACACATCACACCGCAGCGAAACGCAACGAATGCGGAAGTAACTATGGCACCGCAGGACAAAAGACGTCAGGGGTCTATGACATAATTAAGACATGAAATTATTGAAAAATATTGTTTTAAAAATTCCAGCAGGACAAGGGTTAAAGTTTACATATCACTCTCGGTACTCCAGGGATTACAGGTCTGCTCTTCCTGTTTAATACTGCCGGTACTTCCGCCATCTCTTGGTGAGTTTTTGATTCACTCATGCATGCGTAGTCCATATAATTATATATATAACACGATGTGTCCGTATAACTAGTTTACGGTGCTACAAAAGTACATCTTCTCGTCTCAAGCTGACCATGATTTAGTCATCATGTACCATACTTGTCAGACAACGTTGCTTCTTGCAAACCTGGGATCGTGAAGCGTTTTTGAAAGGTTTTGGTCAAAATATAAAAATTTTGGGATAGGGGTTGATGTAATCTTTACATTGACTCGTATTGCCTGGTCTATGCACCACTGGCAAAATGGTTTCAGTTGTAGTTTCAAGCATTAGGCAAGGTGTGTATGTATAGCCATGCCCTGCTCATCATACGCATTTAATACAGTACAGAGTTCCTTATTTGTTATGGACAAAGAGACAGTGTTGATACATTGTTGCACCGTTTCAAGTCACATCATACGGTTGTGTGATCTAGCTGCTGTCTCACGTGCACGATTAGAGAAAGGCTATGACATATAAAATATTCTACGACAACCATTTTTCGTCACAAATTGGTTGGATTTTCTACGATACATGCATCCACCATTGTCGTATTAAATGAGTGCGTTTCTCCTTTTCTATTGCAAACATATAACGTTACATTGTAGTACGATTTGTGACAATGGTCTGTGGGCCAAACTAGCATTTGACTCTCACATAAGTCTTTATATGCACACCGGCGATCCACTGAAACTTAATATGCTACATGTATTTGTATGATCAAGAAAAAACCTCCTTGGTATTATGTTGTTTTGTTCCATACAGCGAAGGGAGTTGTGGGCGTTGCCAAAGTGCTCCGTGACAAAGTTGGCAATCATCCAAAACAATGTACCTGTACAAGGACCTTAGGTCATGTTCGGGGCAACATAGGTGTCCGTGGCTACCTCTATTGTGCCTGCTCTTCTGCCTGACAGTTTCAGCAACCGGTAAATGTTTTGATTCGGCTTTAAGAATAATTATGTCTACCGATTGTTTTTGCTACGTTTCCTCTTCTTCTTCTCCAAGCCGTGACCTTTGACCTGACTGAACCAGACTGTCTCTCACCATGGTAACTGGTGTTAGGTTACATCATGTTGCAGTGCAGTTTTATAGCAGTATGCTCATATATGCAAATGTTTGCATATATTCATAAATACATTATATTCAGTTACAGAACCTTTGGATCAACAGTGCATAGAAGACGGCGAGGTTGCGCAAACACAGTGCCCTGGTAAAGTTCAACCTTTATGACCACGTAGATTTCATAATGAAGGAAACTTTTTTGCCAAACTTTTCTTTATTCGCACGCTTGCGTCAGTTTTGGGGTTCCTAGAGGATGTCATCCATATAATGAAATCAACATGGCCTAATGGCACAATACAACAAAGAAAAAATGATGAAACCAAGGAGCTTGTCCTTGATGAAACAAAGAAATATTAAAGAGAAGGCAGAATTTTGGTATTTCTAGTGGGCTTTTTGGTATTACGATCAAAACAAGGTTGAGTTATTACCGTTACCACCTTGAATTTTGAAATAGATGCATTCTAAAATAAATATTTACCAACAAATATCTGTTGTCTCCTGTTTGTAGCTATTCCACGGCTCCACTTTGCTGGAAGGTTCCTTGCCGACGTACCAACCCTGAACAACGAACTTGACAACTTCAACATCGACAACTTCGTCTTCCACAAAGACCCAGGTTTCAACAAGATGGGCAGCGGGGACTTCCGATTGGTCAACTGCAGCGTGACGCAAGTCTGCCTTACCGACGGGTCATGTGTTGATGATGACCCCATTGTTGGACAGCCAATCATCAGTACGTTACTGTAATCACATTGCTTTAATACAGCTGACCCAAATGTCATAGGCCGTGTTTAAACGGAATCACCCAAGGCGGTTTACATGTGGTTTACCCCGAAGCTGGTTTCAAGTGGCTCCATGTGAACGCTCCAAATCACATTGAAAGCGCCTCGATCCCAAGCCACTTCTAGAGGTGGCTTCGAATCGGTTTTCCCACATCGCGATTTGCAGGTCTGAACGCAATGTGATTTCAATGTGACTTCACCTGGTCATGGATTACGGGGTGATATTTCTTTATTTATGTGCAATACCAAATTTACGTGTTAGCAACTTAAAGAGTAGTAATGGTCAAATAATGTGTCCGTTCTAGGGCGAGCTTCACGTAGGCATTCGGCCGAGATACGCAAGCATGTCGTTGACCTCTGACATTAATAACACGCTATTTGCGTATTTTCATCAAACAACAATGAATGCAGTTTCAGAGAATCGTGATCGGGCGCGGTTTGAAAGGAATGTATGGCACGTGGACCAGATTGCTAGTTACTCGAATCGCGGTTCGGGTGGTTTCATATGAACAAGGCCTAACACAAAATGCATCTTTTTATCATTACCTTTACTTTACCTTAACCGTTTTTAACACTGTTGTCTTTGAAACTTCTTACCAAGGGTCTGCAGGCAAAATGGTGGACCAGGATCCTGAAAACCAGTTCCAACCGGTCCTCTGGGGGCTTGCCATCGGGGTGAATGGGTTTTTCAAGGGAGACCTGGTGCCTCGGCCGGTTCAACACTTCCACGACGCCTGCGAGGGAGACCTGTGCCGGGATCCCGCCTATGATGGAGCCATGGACTCTGCCACGCACGCCTCCACCCTTCAGAATGTCGTGTGGATGGAGAACAAATCCACGTTCATGAGTCAAGTCAGGTCTCTCCGATGTAAGAGTCGTCATTTCAGCTTCCATGTCAAGATGACACTCTACAACGGGATCACTGAGCCAGAGAGTGACGAGTTCCCCTATGGCAGGGTGGTTGGTACGATTTTTGCCACCGTTTCGGAAAGTCCGCTTCCCTTCGGCCCGTACAACAGAATGCTGTGGGGGGACGGGCGGCCGCCACTTCACCACGCACCATTCTACGTGGACAAGTGCAGGAAGTCGATTGTACTCGACTTTTCAAACAGCGTGAGATCAGACGTGTTCGGGAAGCTTGTGAAACCAGCGGGAGGGAGGATGTACCTACACCAGTTCAACGGAACATACACCCGCTGTAGCGACTGGCAGAGGAACGGCGGGAAATTCACAAAAAGGATCAAATTTGTTCGGGAAGAGTGGCGCAGGAAAACCTCGGGAATCCTAGAACTCGCCTTAGACGACGATGACCTCAAGACTGTAGACTATCTCGGGTTTGCGGTAGTGATGATTAAAGACGATCCTAGGAACCAGGATTACTGTATCACGCTGCTTGCGGAGAGACAAGACGGAGTATTTGTAAGCCCTGTCGACACCTTTGCTTTCCGCAAGGAGCCCCACAGCTCCTGGTCCATGAGGCTCCGAGTGTTCAGATTCGGGATGTCTGCATCTGGAATTGTCCTGAAGCCTCGACTGTACCATCCAAAGAATGATTCCAACACGGTCACAGTCCGAGAGTGCACGACTGACTCCTATGGTATCTGTAACCTGGAGTTTACGTCTGGCGATCCTGGAAGGCCTCGGAAGCACAACCAGGTAGACGGACAGTTGTTCCTGTACGGCATACACTCATACACATCAGGAGAGTCAGAGGCAGTAGATGGCCACGAAGTGAGGGATTTAAACGTTTGTGTCCACGTGTTTTCGACGTTCAGCTACACTCCCGGTAGCGTGACCTGGTACAGCGACGTCTACCCAATATTCCAACAGTACGCCAACCTGTACCCTGTCATGAAGCCTATCGTTAACCTAGCCAGCTACGAAGACGTAACAGCCAACCTTCCTTTGCTGGAATACGCCCTGACTCTCCCCGAGACACACCCCAACCACATGCCGATAAGTCGGGACCTTTCCCAGGCTAAACGAGAGATGATACTGTCTTGGTTAAGGGACACAGGCGGTGGGAAGCGTCTTCCTCCGTTAGGAACCGCTCCGTGGGGCCTGAAGGATCTACAGAAGACACTCCAGACAGCCCTAGAACTGGAACTGGCCACGATTCCTCCTTACCTTACCGCTATGTTCTCCCTAAAGGACGGGCGTAACCAGGAGGTAGCGACAGTCATTAAAAGCGTTGTCCTGGACGAGATGAAGCATTTGACGCTGGTGGCAAACCTACTGAACGCTGTTGGCGGTGAACCGATATTGAACAGATCGTCTGTGGTTTTGTCGTACCCATCACCTCTGCCAGGTGGCGCTAACCCGGGGCTGGTGGTCGAGCTAGCAAGATGCTCGAAAAACCAAATCCGTTCCGTCTTTCAGGCAATGGAAAGACCTGACTGTGAAAAGGAGTTTGACAACATTTATCGAAGTCTCCGTAAACTCTCCCAGAGGACTGTTCACTCCGCTGCCTCAGTAGAAAATCTTGAAGCTAATGAAATCCTACACAATTGTAAGAAATTATCGAAAAGGCCACAAACTATTGGCGCAATGTACATCCACGAGATTCTCTGTCCATTGGTGATACTTACAAAAAAGACTTCTGGTGCGATATTCAAAAAAGGCGACCCCAAGAAGCAAATATCCCGTGAACATTGGCTTGCTGACAGCGACTACCCTCCATTCAAAGTCCATGACTTTAGTTCGGCAGTTCGAGCTATAGCAACCATCGTGTTGGAGGGCGAAGGAAGCGATCCATGCAACCCTCTAGATGAATCTGGAGAGCCCTCGCACTACTTCAAGTTTGCCGAAATATTGTACGGAAAACGGCTGGTCAGAATGAACGATCCTCAAGCCCTGTTTGGTAAATGCTCCGACAGGTTCTTTCCTTGTGATGAGGACATGAAGTGTGACAAACGCCCTGGGTTCGTGTTCGCTGGGCGACCTGTGCCGTTCTTCCCAGACGACGTCTGGCCGATCATTTCCAACCCTCGGTCCGACAGGTACCACCCGGCTCAAGAGCGCGCAGGTTCTCCGATAGATTCAACAAGATCTTTACGGACAATCTGAAATGCCTTCATACGGCTTTCAATGGAGACCCGGCTAAGGTTAAAGAATGCACGGGCACGATGCAGGCATTGACCGTCTGGGCCAAGAAGCTGGTTCGCACGCCCCTTGACCCGGAAGGACATCCAAACGACGGGCCCAATGCCGCACCAAGCTTTGAGTTCTATGAAGAATGAAATGACTACGTGCTGCTGGAAAGTCACAATACCAGCTTTGTATTTCTGTGGTTTTAATAGTAACATTTTTATTTTTTCGCCGGAATTTCTTTTTATTCGCCCGCGCGCGCTAGTTTGGGGGTCTTTAGAGGATGTCATCCATAAAATAAAGTCGGTGTGGCCTAAGTTCTAAAAAAAAAAAAACTAAAAGCGTTTGCGTTTGCGACAAACTTACGCTTGTCATCTTTCAGTCTACCCACATAGTATCGCGTAAAGTGTCGACAATCTTTCAGCGTAAACAAAAACATCAACATTAGCCAATCGGCGTGTCTTAAATATACTGGGATATACGGAGACACATCAGTGTGGGTACCAGACTTCTGACAGGGTCGGACCGCCTTTTTACCCCCCAGTCTGGACCGGTTTTTCCACCAACCCCTTTGTCTCGGCGCTAGATAGACCTGCCACAACTTTTTGAACGTTCTTAGTTTGTTGCCTTGGTTTTTGTTTTCACCATTAGCCTCAGTTCAGAGTTCAGTTCTGAATAGAAGGTTTGTAGCAATATAACTTTTAAGTTTTAGTCTTTGTTTCCCTTCTGTCTGAACTGATGGTAGATTACTGTATTGGTCTGTAGAGCGTCCTTGGTTTAACAGTGGGTAGCCATTGCTGTCCTTTAGGATCCTGGTACATTGAGTTGGTGTAAGTCTTGCTGTACAAAAAATGCTTGATACTGTTAAATATGTTTGCAGCTGTTTTACCAACTTTCTGTATTGTGTATTACGTTAACCGTTCAAATTGACTAATTATACATTTTAACGGTGAGTATGCAAATTACAAGTGCATGAATGCTATCGGTTGATCATATTCTCTACCCAATGACAGTCTTATCTTATTCTAGCATTTCTTCATAAATCATGCAAATTCCTGATTTGAATAAATTATGTTTAGTGCTGTTCACCTTCACTGAACTTCCAAATATGACAGGTACATGTATTAGATTCCCAGCAGTTACCACTATACAATTGTAGCAATTTGCCATTAATTATGCAAATAAGGTCTTCATTTACATAAGAATGCCAATGTTCCTGTCGCTCTCAATTACATATGTCACATGTGTATCATACACCTATTTGAAGGCAGATTTAAAGAATTTACTTATTAATAAGCAAATTAGATCCTGATTTGCATAATTGTAATTTCATCATGTCAAGCATCCCTTAAGCTTCCTACCTACCAAAAATCATGACGATCCGTCAACCGTATGTTTAGTTGTCCTCTCTCAAAGAGTTTTAAACAAACCGTCCTGCAGTTCCAGAACAAGCTGCTAGGGGGCCTATTAAAAACTCACGTGACTTATTTCCGAGCACAAGAGCTACCTACCACCTAAATACCCAGTGACCACAGATTTTGTTCGCCCAAGTTTCTATTATCTTTATCAAGCCACACACCTTACATTATTGCAAGCGAAATACCACCCATTTATATATTATATTAACAAGCAGACACGAGCATAATTTCTTAATATCTACTTGCCTCGCCAAATAGGATTGGAATCAGGATAAGGAAGTGATGAGAGCAATATACCTACAGGAAACATGCATCTGCAGGTCTGACATGAACCGCTTGATGGCGTAATAAACCTTTACTGTGCCCGAATGTCTCCGTCTAGGTATTTAGTTCTGTCTCGTGGCGTTACGCTTTCATCAGGGATTTTTGCAACAATATACTCGATAAACATACATGTATATCTTCAACCACTAGTTTTTTTGTTGAAGTTCATACAGTGGCAGTTTTTATCTTAGAGTTGGATATATCGAGTAACACTGTACCGGTGTTCGGTGAATTGAAAAAAAAACTATCTTGATTAGATAAATAATAAGTGCAGCAAATTCATGGTCACTGTTTTTACGTGTAAATTGTACTTCATTTTCAAAATCGTAAAACCTGTCACTTCTGACTCTGAGTATTTCTGTTCCGGTCTCCTATTCAGGGCTTCAGGAGCAGAAATTCTTTCGCCTTCTCTTGTGAGCTGGTTCCAATTCTTACACGTTAGAGAACCTGGCAGTCGTCCTGAAGTCGGGGGCACGCGGGGCACATTTCTGGCCGCATGCTGCAAACCTTCCGTAGGGTCGGTCACTTGCGGTCTGTGTGAAGAACTGGAGGAGGACGGCGAAAGGTCGTAGCCAAGAGGAAAATGCGGTCCCGCCGACGTGACACACTTCTGTCTTAGTTTTAAATCATGAGAGAGACGACGGACGGTTTTATGTGGGACGGAGGCCAAAACTGACATGAATCTCAGCAAATCACCGAATCGTCTGGCGTCCTTTCCTAATATAGCGGGGACAGTCCATGTGGTACGGCTTACCGTGCTGTGGAAGGCTTCACCTGCACGACAGCACGGGTGACCACAGGGGCCAAAAGGACGTCGCAACTTTTCTCGACTAAAATACTACTGGCCAGGACTCAACATACCAAGTCATGAGACGATACCGTGGCCTGAATTTCTAGTCACTTGATTCTGCCACCGAAGACTGCTCGGCAATTCTACCGCATCAAAATCGTACGACCACCTATGACAATTGTGACCACGCCCTTACTTAGAATCATGCAATACATAAACAGTGGATGTAAGATAGTTAAATACCTAGAGAGACAATACCTAGAGTTAAATACATAGAGATACAATTAACTCTGAACTGTACCAAGCGTGAACCAGCACGTATTAGACGTTAAACAAGGACAACAACAACAACAAAAATATTCATGATTTTCATCTACAAAGACTCCAAACAGCAACATCAAAATCTTTATTATAAACTGTTTGGTAAACGAAAAGCAATTTTCTCTAGCCTGATAGAAAACAAATGTTTCGGCGTAGATAGAATCGGTTATACCTGGTCGATCTAAAGTCCAGATAACGGATGATTACACTGTGAAGGGGAAATGAAAGACCTAATTTAACCCAAATCTAATCAGATGACCGAGTGGTGGAGAAAAGTGATCGAAATTCAGACCAGAACCTGGAGAGATTTTATGTTAATGTCCAGGGTTCAGATTCGGCCTCTGGCCTGCATTGTCCGTATATAGGTAAACGTGGCCGTGGAGCGAGTGGTCAGTGGCCGTGGAGCGAGCTGGTCAGTGAACCCATTTCTTGCCCAGAGGGGGCAAGAGGGGAGACAAAGAGGTTGAATGACATCCTCGTGTAGGGGGTCTGCATGGGGAGGGGGGCATTTGGGTGTAGTAATGATATATACTGTAATTCACATTGTCTTCACGGTAGCAAAATTTCGCGGCCTAAGGAAAATGGACATTTTCACAGTGAGTGAGTGAGTGAGTGACTGAGTGAGTGAGTGAGTGACTGAGTGAGTGAGTGACTGACTGACTGACTGACTGACTGACTGACTGACTGACTGACTGACTGACTGACTGAATAATCAGTCAGTCAGTCAGTGATATCGAGCCTAGAGTAGGAATAGCTGCTTTGGGTAGTTCCGTTCTACTGTCTCTCGTCAACTGATATCATATGGTTTAGCTAATAAAAGATATGATAAACATCACATGTGACCTTCATGATCACCCAGGTGATAACTCACAGTACGTACATCTCTATTTATTCTCGCTGACAACAACGGAATTGTTGTGTATTCTCACTACGAGTATACCAGTATACCTTTTCAGCGTACTTTATGTTTATAACAACTGTTTGTAATAAAGTTGAAACTAGGGTATGCCTTGGATAACTGCTTAAACTGGGCCCACCTGTTGTTTTATGGCCGTTATTTATGGCCCTACCCTCGCTGACCTACGTTTTGGGCCGTTAGGGTGATTACTTCCAGAAGATGGCACGCAGTCTGAAAACCTGTGCAATTTCAGCGAGCAATTTCAAGGCGATAAAACTGGATTTTCAAGTCAATTTGCGGGTCAACCTTCTCCCATAGCATACTGATATCTGCATCTGTTTTGTGTCATAGTCTGGTTCTAGATATTTATAGGCAGGCCAGTAGCCCAAAAAGAGACACCTTATACACGTGGCTTGTTTTGAGGCTATTCCAAACGCTTCAAGTATGAAATGATGACAACAATGTGCTAAAAATGGCAGTAAATGTCAATGTCAGACAGATTTACTCATCCAGACTATATCTATATATTTTTTTTGTTGTTTTTCCGCCCTGAAATTGCATTGGATCATTTCTGTATCCACATGTTTGTTTATAGTTATAGTTTACCTATAAACAAACCCATTTATATATAGTATAGTCAGATGTCCCTACAGAAGTTGAACGGATTTAAAGGTTTCAGTGGTTTCAGCATTTGGGTTGATAATCTTCGTTATCTTACAGTGTGCAAAGAGGTACATACATTATAGTATAACTGTAGCGTGAACTCTACCTTGTTTACAATGTTAAAATCATGGTATCTACCTGTGTGTATCTCTAGTTGTAGAACTACTAGAAGACCTCAATGAAAAGCGGCCTGGAGGACGATTTGAACTTCTCTTCGTGAACTGTCATGTATCTGGGAGTTTTGCGGTCATTCTGTCCGACAGGGTCAGTGCCATGGTCTGAGTGTGTGTCTTCGGCGGGTGTCTGAAACTCATTTATCTGCGGTCAGACCTCTTGGCCGTGAAAATTGCCTTGCGGTCGCTGACCGCGGTGATAAACTACCGTGCTGACCGACTGGTAACTGACCACAGCTGACCTACCAGTCCGGAATAATCGGCCCTGCTTGTGTGAATGGTGTGACTGTGTGTCCTGAGAAATGGTTAAATATAGACTGTAGATAGATAACGAAGAGTCGAGAACCAGATGGTATTACATAGACCTGTTTGTGATGCCGCATCAGGATGAGGAAATCTGTTTGATATTCAAATTTTTTTGCTATTTCTTAGCACATTTTCGTCATCATTTTATTCTTGAAGCGTTTAATTAATTCACAAATGAGCTACGCGATGAGTCCCTTTATTTTTGGGTACCACCAATAGACAGCCAGAACCAGCCTACGATACAAAACAAGCAACCGTTTTCCGTCAATGACATCAAATTGTGACTCACAGATAGAGTTACTACACAAAGTATCACCAGAAAGTAGACTTTGAAGCTCCAAGTTTGCCGCCTTGAAAT